GGAACTACAATGGAGACTATAGGTATCTTACCTACCCAAATCATGTGCAGCCGGCCTGAAGGCAAAACTCTCGCAGCGGTGATGTAGTGTTTTAAAGGCTCGAGCAAAGCGTCAGCGGTGAACTACTTAAGGGCTTCGGCTTCAGAGCTCAGGATTGAGGTAAACCCTACCTATAGCCGAAAAAACCTACCTTGTCAGGGTTCCCAATTATGGTTTCTATATATAAGTCCTTAAAAAGGTAAGATTTTGGGTCACAGGTAACACCCCAAAACCCTATTCCAGTTGGGCTTAGTAGCACAATAAGCTCACATCTATTCCGAGACTGGCGACCATTCAAACCGGAGCCTGACTGCACGTAAACTTTGGCGTGGAACCCTGAAGAACCTACAAGGCCTTAAGCAGGGTTTAGGGTTTAGGGTTTAGGGCAACAATCACCCCATATAGTCGCTCGGTAGAACTATAGAACATCGTTTGTCCCCAGACCCTCGAAAACAACTGTTTTGAAGCCATCAAAAAATGGCCTACCCCGGAAGCAGATCCTGAAATGTCATAATTAGGCAAGTAGTTTTACCATTGGACTTCTGATTCTAACTATGCAAAAATTATTCCCCCAAGCCCTGGTCGAATCATGAAGCTCCACGTAGTAAATCAAATTCTTACACCCTTGGTTAGTTTGCCTTTGATGAAAACCAGGTTTACGGCAGCCATAGGTCTTTGCGGATTCTAGCTCCGAGTGCAAACAACAAATGTCCCCCGCATGTAGAAAAAGGCCGGTATGAACCCTGATTTGTTGTATTGCCTCTCTTATGCTCCACATCCCGTAAGTAAACCCAGCACAACCCTTCAAAGCCCAGCCTAAACCTTAGACTAGACCCCAAACCCCTCATCCCCAGACCCTCAGTCTAAAAGCCAAATGCGCAAGCCCTAAATCCCTACATCCCTACATCCCTACGCCCTAGACACCCAACTGCCCACATCCAGAGCCCTTCGCCCGACAGTCGAACGGTTCCGGACCTCCAACATGATACTCTCTAGGGTTTAGGATTTCTGGGCCCGGATTTGGGATTAGGTTTCAGTGTGGGGTAGACTACTGGAAACGGAAGGCTGAGGGCTTGAATCTCTGGCATGGTCTTTGGGCCCAAACGCCTTGACATTTGAGTCGTCGTGGCCTTACCCCAAAGGTCCAAAAGACCCAAGAAACAGGTACTTAGGTTTCGGATAGTAGATATGTAGGCTACTAATTCGGCAGAGTACATTTATTATTAGGTACTTGGACCCTTCGGGTTAGGAATCCTAAACCCTAAACCCTAAATCCTAAACCTAAACCCTAAAACCCTAAACCCTAAACCCTAAACCCTAAACCCTAAACCCTAAACCCTAAACCCGAATACGATGCTGTAGGTTTAGGCTTTGGATTTAGGAGACAGGGAGTCGGTAGGCTTCCATGAACCCCAAACCCAACAGTCGGAGACTCCTGTGAAAGGGCTTAGGGGTTTAGGGTTTAGGGTTTAGGGTTTAGGGTTTAAGGGCCCTCTTCCAACTGCAGGTGCAGTAGATATCCTTACTAGGAGGAGCCAGTTATAGGGGTTAGGGTTTACGGCTTAGGATTTCGGGTTCAGTCCTACTGCGAGCCTCAGAGGCTTTTAGTACGCAGGTTACAAGCAGCTGGGGCTCCAATGCTTATACTTCTAACTTTAGGGTTTAGGGTTTAGGGTTTAGGGTTTAGGGCAATTCCAAAATTAGCCCAAAACTTATAAAGCATAGCTTCTGTGGGCTGAAAAGCGTCAGCAGGGTAATTTCAACCTTCATGCTACCCTAAGGGTCCATGTACCCAGATTGCACATACTTTGGCCTTAGAGTAGTCCCTCAACATGTACTTTAAGGCCAAAATATATACTATTTGGGCATATGGATATGAGTAGTTCTCTAAATTAGGATCCCTTTTGGGGCCCTTTGTGTAAGGGTGCCGTACTATATTGGGGACCTAAAAAGGGAGCGTAATTTAGAGAACTGCGCATATACTATGTGGGCATATGGATATGTCTCGTCATATTCCTGGGGGACCCATTAGGGTTTAGGGTTTAGGGTTTAGGGTTTAGGGTTGCTCCCAAGATCGGATCCTGTGGCACCCGAGCATCAAGAGTTCGCCCCTTCGAGACACCTGGGAAGAGGGCTTCCTTTAGGGTTTAGGGTTTAGGGTTTATAGGGTCTAACAAGGGGGCCATACTCTGCTATAGTTGTAGAGGGGCCACCACTATGTATTATGATTATGATTTATTTCCACCCCTGTGTTATCAGGGTTCCCTTAAGGGATTTCTGGCTTCGCGTAATGCAGGGGCCTTAATGATTAGCGTAGGGCTTTGTTAGATTATACTCCGAGCCCCTCAGACGAACGCCAACAACAAATTGGAACCACATGAAAGTAGGTTCACCTACAAGTCTCCTTTCCAAGTAAACCCTACACCCTACCTATAGTCTCCATTGTGGTTCCTTTTCGGGGATGCCTTATACAATCCTTAATATATAATTGGTTAAACCAAAAAAAGGAACTACCATGGAGACTACAGGTAAACGTATGGAGACTCGGAACCTAAGAACCTAACCACCGTGCCGGCGTCAGAAAAAGGCTTCCAGCCAGTCAATGGCTACAGTTTAGGGCTTCGTGCTTGTGGTGTCCACTCCTGTCAGCCGATGGTTGAAAGGAAGGGTTTAGGGGTTAGGGTTAAGGGTTTTGGGTTTGGAAGGAAGGCCACGCATGTTCACAAAACGCCAACTCCAGAATCCACCGCCGTGAACCGATGCTTGTCTGGAGGCCCTCAAAGAGTTCACGCCCACTGCTCCAAGAGTTGGGACACTGTGGTACATGCAGTCTCCTTTCCTGTTCGTTCGGATATGTTCGGATGACTCCGGTTCGCACTCTCTAGCACACACAACCTCTCTATATTTCTCTCCAACTGTCTCTGTCTCTCCCTCTCGGCACACACACACACAGTCTCTCTCGCTCTATCTCTCTTTCTCTCTTTCGCTCGCGAGGTAATTGCTCGAGCAAGACAACGAACCCGCATGTTTCCTGAATGCCCTGCAATGGCAACCGCAAACCCCAAATTGCTGCGATAAGCACTTCTCGGCTTCATGGCCTTTGTCATTGAAATCCCCCCTTGGATTTCCGCATGAAAGCTTAAACCCTAAACCCTAAACCCTAAATCCTTTAGGGTTTGGGGTTTGATGGCTGCGGTTTGGCACCCAGGGCTTCAGGTTGAGGTTCAGGCTGGGGTGTGGCTTTGGCCAGCGACTCGGTTTAGAATTTAGGGTTAAGGTTATCTTAAACTACGGTAGTCGGACTCTTTAAGGGTTTAGGGTTGAGGGTTTAGGGTTAAGAAAGTTCCTTGGAAGCTCCAGGGGTTTAGACCAGTAGGTTACAGGTGGGTTTAGGGTTTAGGGTTTAGGGTTTAGGGTTTAGGGTTTAGGGTTTAGGGTTTAGAGCATTGCCCTGCTCGGCAGATGAGAAAGGTTTGATTACCTACAGTCTCCATTGTAGTTCTGTGGCTTACAAACTTTATACCAACCATTGTACGTAGTTCTGTGAATAACCAAATTTTATATTACAGAAACCTAACCACACAATGGGCCAGCTAACACGGAACTACAATAGAGACTGTAGGTAGGCTTTTCGGACGTACGACACACCTCGGCTTCCGTACTGCTTCGGTTCAAGATTCGCCCATTTTCGAATCGATGGATCTGCGTCGCGGCAAGCGATGTGACTTCCAGGGCTGTCCTATTTTAGGAGACAGGTACCGTGGACCTTTAAAGAAGGTCTCTGAACCGTATCAGGGAAACCTCCAAAACGGACAGCCCTGGTGTCTTCTCCGAAGCTAGATGGGACCCAGAGAACCCTATGCCCCTTTGCAATACACCTTCAATCATAATATTAATTAAGGCCCCTATAATTTAAGGCATATTCCTTAATTAAGGGGATTGGGATCTCTGGGGAGAGGTCCCCACCCCTAAAAAGCCAAGCTCAGCCAGTCTAGAACGGCTGGCACAGAGAAAGGATAGGAAACCACTGATCTTCAGCACCTTTCCAGCGACTCCAAGCCCCCCCTTAAAACGTGCGAAAATCAGTTCCTATGAGATCCCCAATCCCTAAACCCTAAACCCCTATAAAACTCAAATGAGGGACCCGGACTTAGGGGACGTTGGAGTGAATAAGCTGGCTGCGCTCAGTTCGCATAGCCATGCTCGAAGCGTGTTCTGCTGACTGCCTTTGGCTTGATGGTGACCTGGGCTTCGAAGTCATCAGGGAGAAAAATGGCTGAACTTTAGGGTTTCGGGTTTAGGGTTTAGGGTGTAGGGTTCGGGTTTAGGATTTCATTATAGTATGGTTCCTTTACAGAACAGGTCCCCCAAAAAAAGTCACAAAACAAAAACAACAATAAAGTCTGGTACTTCAGAACCCAGTGACCAGGATGCGATGCCAGCCATTGCAAAGCACACCCCGGATGTTCCATACAGACTCGATGGTCTCGGGCTGCACGTTGTACTGGGCATCAGCCGCCTGCTCGGTCGGTCTCTTGATAGGGTTGCTTTAAAGGCTTCGGTAAAGGGTTCTATAAGGGCTACTATTGTATAAAGGTTTATAGAGTTTAGGGGCCTTGATCATTAGAACAGGGTTTTGGGATCCTTTATAGGATAATTATAATTAGGATCCCAAAATGATCTTGGAAGTTATTTACTTATTTATTTGACAAGATGCAAAGCGATAGAGATAGAGAGAGAGAGAGACAGACCGACAGACAGACAGACAGACAGACAGACAGACTGACTGACTGACTGACTGACTGACAGACTGCCTGATCGACTGACTGACTGACTGACCGACTGAGCGACCGACTGACTGACTGAGTCACTGACACAGAGAGAGAGAGAGACAGAGAGCTTCATGCCCGAATACCTCCGCCTCCTCTGCCCGACCGTATCCCGAAATGCAGACGAGGGACATGTAAACAAAGGAATTGCCGGATCGATCGGAGCACCAAATGCCATAGCCCGGTCTCTCTCCTGATGCCAAGTGTTCGTACTTCGATGCGCGTCAACATGAAAGCTCCCAAGGTATCTTGAGGTGCGACCACGGTCGAGGACCTGTAGTAATCCCAAGAACTCCTGGAGTTGAGAGTTTCGCCTGCTGGTAGGTTATATCAAGGCATATCAAGGCTGCGGAGGCATTCCCAGTTGAACGCTGATGGGGTTCCTGCGTCACGGTGAGAACCTTATAATCTGGTGTCTCGACGCTTTCCCAGCAAACTAGGGAGGCGTTGGCATGAAGCATTGCGGGCGAACCCTGAAACATGCGTATGATGTTGACCTTGGCGGCCTCATATCCCGACCATGGGTACCGGCGCCCAGAAACGAATTTTACGTAGACTTTCGCAACTTTCTGATGTTGGACCTCGTGGTCTTGTAGACTGACTCGATTAAACATCTAGCGGATCTAGCGGTCCAAACTTTGGTGAAAGACATGACATTGGGCCTTCATGCTTATGCTTACTGCCCAGTTTCCCACGCTAACTCAGGCATTTTTAATTGTTGTGGGCTTCCTCAAGACTTTAGCACTCTAGCCATTGTTGATGTGTCAAGCTTACTAGGTGCACGCTCGGTTGCGATTCTTTAGGGTGGAAGCAAAAGGCCTGCCGTAGAGCAAAGCTTCAGAGCTCCGCTGTCCTTGTCGGTCTCGGCAAGGGGGCAGACCCGCCCGTTGCATTTCACGCAGCGGGTGAAGAATCTTTCCGGGCTAACGTCGACAGACAGATCCTAGGCCAACTGCCAACTCGAGACACATTGGAATGCTCTTGGGGTGCGGGGTTTTAGCATGATCCGAACAAACTATTCGGGGTTCCGAGATCGTCGGAGACATGTGATCCTGACTTGCTATTCAGTGCATCAGACCGATTTGCTGGGAAGTTGCGAGGCACAGCCGTGCCAAGGCCTTGTCGAAATCCCGGGCATCCAGGAAGTACGCTAACGCCTGGATGTCGCGATGTGCACCACGAACCGTGTGTCGCTGGGGCTCGCAAGCAGACAAGTACAGGGCAATGAGACGTCAACAGCCGGGTCGTCGACGGCATCAGCGCGCGCAACCAACCTTTGTAACTTCGGGCAGGCAGTTTTGTTCCAAATGACCTCCGGACCGGACATGGTAGCTGCCAGCGTCACTATCATGTCGACCGACAGTCGAACACGACATCTGACACCATCATCTCCAACATGAGGTCCCTCTTGCTGGCAAGCAACTTCTTTGACGCCGACACCAGCACACGGTCTTCGCGCGCAGCACGGGCCACAATGAGCACTTTGGCCTCAGACTCGACGCAGGCCCATGAAGAGACAAGTCTCTGCATGTTGCTCGGCACAAGACCCGTTGGTTATGGCAAACCTCGGAGGGACGCTCCTCGGACTCTGGCGAAAGAAGAAGAATCGAAGAAAGATGCTGTTGAAACAAGAGATCTCCTCACGCTCAGGCTCTTTCTCGACCAAGACATCCAAGCCTCCAGAAACACAACAGTAAGAACGCGGTGTTCTCGAATTCTGAATCGAGGCCCGGGTGCCCAGAAGCCGCAAGGGTTTTGCAGCCTGCAGCCGACCGGACACGCACTTTCACAACACTTTCGCCCGCTTCGAAGTGCATCTGAGCCTTTGAGATGTCGCGGTCTACGATGAAGCGCTCCACCTCTTCGCATCTCCAAGCCCAGCTCGCAACTCTCTGTTGCGAAAGATCCACAATGTTCCGGTTCTTTGAGCAAGGGGCTTCAGCACTGATAGCTTCAGATTTAAGATGCCTGCCTTGCGGAACTTGCGTGGAACCTGGCGAAACTACAGGCAGCAGGTCTTTGAAATCAAAGTGACGCCTCCATCACAGGCAGTTCTTCGTGGTAGCATGGCAACAGGAGCTATTGGACTGCATGGCGTCTCACTGATGACACCTGACTCAGCCTCCACATGTAAGGCAGCATTTGTCAGCATCTGCTGGCACCCTTGGAAGCACCTCTATCACGCCGTTGCGCAGCAGCTGGCAGCCCATGCCCCAGGGATGAGAGTTCAGGTCTCCACCTCCAGATTGCTGCTTGCAGAGTGCCACGTTCTTCAACGGCTTGGAGAAGTGATGTTGAGACATTGTTGCAGTCTGAGCTGCAGAACGCCAGGGGCTTCGATGTTCCGAAGCTTCGCTCAACGGCCTCCAGCATAGATGCGAGCCTTGGCCGGCAAATCCAGACAGGGCCAAGAGAGTTGGATCTCGGGCCAAGATGTCAGACACTATCGACCCTGGGTGTGGCAAGATGGCCGACTTTGGCTGGCTTCGCTGGAGCCACATCTCGTTTGAAAGCGAAAAGGGTCGTGGCAGGTTGTGAAGAGCCCTAAACCCACGGGCCTGTCTGTTATAAAATGCACTGCTTCTCGTAACCGTGCTCTGCATAAAACATACAGTGTCGCGAAAGAGGACTGGGTATGCAGGGGAGCGGGGGCCCGGCTGCGTTTGGGCACTGCGTGCTTTATCACGGTACTCTCCAACCAAGGCGCATGGCGGGATATCCCGGGGATCCAGAGGCGACAGGGTGACAGGATAAGCCGCGAAGCATGTGGGACGGTAAGACCATGGTTTTACTCTGGGAGCTCAGTCCCTTGCTGCTTGCAGGCTTGAAGTACCTCACGGTTCAGTAGTCTCGCTTTGGAAAGGGCCCCCAGGAACAGAAACACTCAACTCTCCTGCGTTAGGAAGACGCAGCTTCAAGCAGAGCCCAAGCTTCTACAGTAGAATCTCCGAGGTGCTGCCATGCCCTGACGTCGTCATGCTCGCTGCCCCAGTAGAGATGAGTCGTGGCAATCAGGAAAGTGAGATTCGTGCGCAAGTCCTCCTCAGAAGCTTCTTTGGGCTTCTTCGCAGACAGTCACAGAAAACCACCACATGCTGCCCAAGATGCCAGCTCGACGATCAAAGCCTTGGATGACACCACACCCATGAAAGTAAAAGGCCGCTGATGCTTTGGCACAGCAGGCGATTGTACGTTGTGGCATGCAAATGTCAACTCGACATGCGTGGTAGCAGTCACATCCGCTCGACATGCACTCTGAGCAAAGTCGGGGCGCGATGTTTTTTCGAGCAAATCTCGCAATCCTCGGCCAGTAAGTCGCATCTATGGCTACGTGCCACGAGCCCACAAAGACGAGCAGCACCGCTGGTGGAAGATCCATCTCGAGGAGTGAGTCGAAATCGACCACCAGCTGCTGCCGGCACCTTCCAGCTCGAGCGCTCTCGAAGGGCTTGGGATCGAACGCTTGCACCGACCTGAAATCGCTTTTCAGGAAGGCAACAACGCATCCGTCAGCGCGTGCGGGTCTCTGTGCCTCAGATCGCCAGAAGGATGCCGGATTTCAAGTGGACGCCGGGCAGAAACAAAACGACGAGCCAACCGAGAAGTTGGTCTTATGAGAACAACGACGTCATCATCCCGCAGCCGTAACCATCATCACCGCCACCATTGGTGCTAGCAGCAGCAGCAGCAGCGGCGATCACACCTGCCGGTGTATGCACAATCATGAAGACAATGGACATCTGCAACATGCTTCCGTAGACTCAACACTTATCTAGTCAAGGCCGAGAGGCATAGATCACCTCGTAGCCCAGACCTGCCAAAGAGCTGTGGCTGCCTGACTCTCTTGGAGGCCCTTATGCCGAGACCCCTCCTTTCCTTCGCAGAGATGCGGCGCCTTCCAGGAGTGGCTGCCAGTCTTTCAGCGGCTCAACCTCCTGGAGGCACAGAACATCAGCTTCGAGGTCCACCAGCGCATCTCTCCTGTCGGGGCCCGTGCAGTCTGCGCATGAATTGCCCTTCGTTGCAGCATCGCCATGTGAGCCGGGTTGCAAGAGTGGCAGCCGGTGTCCAAATCTCAGCCATTCCTCCAAGAAACACATGACCGCGCACTTCTGACTTCCACTTTCTCAGGCCACCCAAACTAAACCTCAGCGGAAGCCATCAACCTTCTAATCGGTGCGAGCAAGGCACCGAAGCAGTAAACTCCCCTGAATCTGAGCGAAAGTTATTCGAGCCGGATCTTCTTTCGAACGGAACCACTCACCTTAAACGCCTGAGCCCTTACCGTGAAATGCGTCGTTGGAGCCTATAGACTCTAGACTCTGGACTCCGGATGCCGAACTTCCACCGGCGAGGTGCTGGCTTCACATCCGGGAAGGATTTTTGAAGGGAGTAGCTCTGCGCGAGGACCTAATTGCAGAAGCTACCATTGCTGTGTACCTTCATGCCATCAGAGTCAGGGGCATCATGCCATGCTCAGCTACTCGTTGCAGCAGTGTGACATTCCAGCTTGCTAGCCGTAGTCTTCTCCAAGTGTCCCGGGCCTGACGATCAAATTGCTCTTTGCAATGTCATAGTTGCAAACTTGCGCTCACCGGTGCACGCCCAACGGGTCCAACAAAGTTGCTTGCAACGGTACAAAAGGCACGGCTGGCCTGCACATCCGGGATCACTTGGAAGTCGAAGGGAAGTGGCCTGTGACTTCCCTCCCGAGAGCAAGCCCAAGGGAAGTGCGTCTGGCACGCGATGGCTGCAGCTCTTGGAATTTCTACTGGTGGTATGCAACAGCCCTGACCGAAACCTGCTCTGAAACCCCATGGTTGGCTTGCGCAGAACACCCTTCATGCGTCTCCAAGCTGCCTCCGTCGGCGAATGCGCACAGCAGGCTTTTGCAGCAGTAGCGGCTCGTGATCTGGGCAAAGCGTGCTCAGACTCCTCTCGAGATCTCAAAACGCTCTCGATGCCGAGGAGCCAAAAGCTGCAGCCAAGCCGAGGCGGCGCAGCTCCGAGCTTTCCATGGCCAAGGCCAAGGCCGAGCAGACGGGAGCTACTGGCACAGTATAAGTTTAAGCGTGTTTAGGAGAGCTCAGCGCTGAGCTCAGCTTGGGCCGTGGGGCTCATAAGCGCTTTCGGTTTCGGCCGCTCTCGCCTCTCGCAGGTGTCTTTAGATGTAGGACTCTCATTGCTGGCATCAGCATCCCAAAAAATCACCCTCAGGGTATACCTTCACCGACGGAAGCACTTTTCGCACTCACCAACCAACCAACCAGCAACATAGCCGCCCTTATCATTCCATCGCGCCTGCGGTGCTGCTTCTCACGACAGATTGCAGCACCTGGGTAGACCAGCTGACAGAGTGAAGCTCCAATTAATTCTGCTTGCAGGATCACATTTCCTGGCTTCTCACGGCTTCCGACGTATTAAGTTGTAACTTTCAGGGTGGGGGGTGGGGATAACATGCGGAGAGCCGCACCAGCACTTGAACGATCCGCCTTTCTGGAGGCTCTCAGTCGTCTCTTTCCTCAACATTTGTCACGGTCTCAGTGGTCCGTGTGTCTGCCCATCTATGCGGGCTTCGAGTCTCCAGTTTCCCTGCACGCGAACACGCCGCGCTCGACACAACCCCAACCCATTCCTGAGTGCTGGTGACTGAAGAGGCTCCGATTCTCAAGCTGCGCCTCTCAAATAAAGATCCAATTGCTGGAAGTAGGCAGCACTCACAGCTGAGCAAGCTGCAACTCTGGCTTCATCATGGTCTCGGAAATGTGGTGAATGATGGCTCCTCCCATGGCATTCCGGTCACGCTCACCTGACAGTGCTGCAGCTTCCAGGCCGCTGTTTACAGCCTTTCACCTGCCTGCAGTGAACTTCGGTGAACTGTTGGACAGTTATAATTTGGAACTAAGCGCATCTGAGCGGAATGTCTGGAGTGATGCTGCGAGAAGAATCGTCTTCGTTGCTGTGCAGACCTGATGGTGGGCATTTCAGCTGTGGGCCGCGCCTGTTCTGACGATCTCCCCGTCGGGGGTGACGACAACTTCTGACGTCTCCGGAGCAGTACCAGAGTTGGCTGCCGCGGAAGCGCTCAGGGCAGGGGGAAACGTGGCAACAGGGGAGCTGCCCGCAAAGCTCGTCGCATGACCTGATGAAGCATCGCGCAAGCAGCTGGCACTTCTTCGGATGCATTTGCCACCACAGCAACTTCTGCCAAGATGCTGTGTGAAGGTGACAACATCTCGTTGATCTCCTCCATCTCCTGCACTCCTGGCAAGCAGGCAAGCAAGGGATGACCTGCGGAAGGCTGGGATCGATGTCACAGATCTCGCAGCAGAGGAGCTCAAGCGCCGGCTGCCGGATCACAGATACTTTGATGCGAAGTCCGAATCATTCTGAAAGATGAAGGTCCGATGCAAATGGCTCTGAAGCGTCTGAACCGCAAATGACTGACCCCACCTTGCACTGTCTTACACACTGCATCTGAGGACATGACCCTTCACGGCGCTCGCCCGCTTCCCTTGCTTGAGTTGTGCATCGATCACCTTGGACACATCGCTTCAGCTAGTCAACCCGAGCAGTGGTTGCAAACGAGGCGACGTAGTTTTGCGATCGATCAGCATCTCCCATCTTTAATCTCCAGAGCCCTCCCATCCTCTTTACCAATGTCCTGTGTCAGGAGCTGGCCCTCCAGGTCCAGGTGCCATGTTCTTGTCTCTCTAAACCTATGTCTGAGCCTTCTCCTCGCATCTAGCCCAGGAAACATGCGTTCTGCTTGAAAGACCTGTGCAACTGCCCCCACCTGTGCAGCCAACTCTGAGTTGACGTTCATGGGATCGCCACCTCAATCGTCTCGCTGCAGTGCTTTCGTTCCGTGAACATGCTTTGACATTTGCATGTTGTCATGCACAGGCTGCACAATTGAATTCGCTCCCTCGCGACACAAATCTGCTCATGTTGCTGGCGTTGCCGGGCCCCCGAGCGCAAGTACGACTTGAACTCTTGGTAACTGATCCGGTTGTCCTGCAAAGCATGTGGAGTAGGCCCCAGCCATACCAGCATTCGTTTCTGGTGCGTCCAGCACGATTGTACCATTCGCTTCTTCTGCATCCAATACGTGAAGGCAAAACACATTCCCACCCGCCCCACCTTCTTTCGCCCCGCCCCTCGGTGGGTACCCCGGTCTCTCGGTTCACGGTCCAGACTTGAGCTCCATCCCGTCTGCAATGTCTGCTATCTAATTTTCCTTCGGCTTGCAACACAAATGTCATCGGCCTCCACCTGTGTGCGTGTGTAGCTGTAGCCACTGTAGCCACTGTAGCCGGCTTGGCTGACATGTGATGCGCTGTTCTCGGAATGCAACCGACCACTTAAAAGCGAAATACAAACGCCACAAGCAAAAACGCAATCAACATCCAGGCTTCCGTCGAACACTTCCGGCAAACCCGGTAGCTGAATCTCAGTATCGGCTGGATGTTCACGTGTCGAGTTGAAAACCTCTTAGTCCCGTCCTTCAAGATATCCGCCTCAGCCAAGAGCTTCTCGACCTGTTCGCCTTCCCAGGTTTCGCCGAGAACCTGTGAACAGCAGGCATGCTGAAGACGGTTATGCAAATTACGTTTGTGTTGACAGTCGCTGAGCCCAGTCGTGTCCACAATCTGTGAGGTCGCGAAGTACATTGTACGTTTTTCCATTTCAAAGGAGATGGGGCAGGGTGGCTGGCACGATACCTCTTGATCGTTACCTACTATGGCTGGTTCGAGCAGCTTGTGCGACTCAAGTCACGCAGCGCGACACGCTTGACAAGCTTTACGTGCAGGCGCGGAGATTCCCTCGGGCACTTCCGACTGAAACATTGGCTGCACCCTGGTAGTTGCTCAGGTACAGTCTAAGCACGGTTTGCCCGGGACGGCCTCTTTCAAGTTCGAGCAAGTGATGTACCCAGAGCCTTGAGCAGTCGAGAAACTAGCAGGTCGCCGCGCAGTGACTAGTCTCCGCAAGTCGACATGCCTTGTCTTTCTTGCTGCAAAGGGTATGCGGTCTACAGTGACTTGTGAAATCTGATAAATGTTCAGGTCTGGACTGTCCACATCAAACTTCTTGAAGGTTGCCTGCAGCGTGGCGAACAGCACATTTCACTTCCAGCCCAAAGTGCTTGAATGCAACACATCTGACAAACAACGTCCTGTCTGGGAAGTCCGGCCCGCCTTTAGCAAATGATCGTGGAGAGAGATGCGCGTGCTCACCTCGCCATTTCAATGACAACTGCGGTGAGGCGACACCCCAACTAGTGGTGCCACATTGCAATTCACCGGCTTCGACCGGCTTCGGATCGGTCTGCTAGTCACATCTGGGACCAGTCTAAGCAGCATGCCATTGCAGCCAGGAAGTCGGAGTAGTGAATCTCCTGACCATAGGGACATTCGAGCATTGAGTCTCTCAAATTACAGCGTCGTCATGACAAGGCTGGGAATTCAAGCGTGACAATGTGCAACATCATTGAGCCGAGCCCAGGCTACACACCCCACCCAGTGCTCAAAGTGCAGGGTTCTGCGGCTCTGTGGGAGTGCAGAGCAGCTCCTCATCATGGTTAGAGTCCAGGGCATCGAAGACCTGCTTTGTCTCCTGGCATTCTTGGATCTGACTTGACCCTATCAGAGCTGCTTGAATCACTGAAGCATAAAGGAGCTTGGGGCACCCCTTCAGAGACGTTGAACTTCTCCTGCATGACCTCTTGCACACCACGGCGGCTTGCATGGAACGGCATTGGCAAGACATCTGCAGGCTCGAACCCGCTAGCTTTAAGGAGCACTTGCGATGAAGCCTGCTTCAAGTCCCGCAGCTTGATGGTGCCCTGCCTTGGTCGGGACTGTCATTCAAACGAGTCGCAGCGATAGCATGCTGAAGGTGAATGGACTGGGCCACAGTGCTGCGAATGGTCGAGGGCGATGAAGGACTCTCGCACCTGAGCCGCCAGAAAGTCTGAGCTCTGATCGAGAGGGTGAGTCTGAGAGACTCGGCATGATTTTGACATGTCCCTGAAGCTTTCGAATCGCATATTACTGCTGAAACTTCTTTCTAGCACTTGCGTTCACGCCTGGCAGCCCGAACCAAACATTGAGGAAGCCTCGAGCGCCCTTGGAACCCTGATCCTCTCTCGGAAAGGTGTCGAACAAGTACTGCGTAGAATTCGGAAGCCGGCCTGTGCGCGCTCCTCCTTGGACAAAGACCAGGCCATCATCTCCATGCAAGCTCGCCGGAACCTGTGCACACACAACTCCCCCAACTCCCCCAACCTACCCTCATGCTCTGCCTGCTAGGCCCCTAGGCCTAGGCCCCCAGTTGCCCGTGAGACAGGGGAGCGGGCTTGGAGGCGTGGCCGAACTTGCGAAGGGCCTCGACCTGGCAGAGGGGACCAGGGAGGGACGGGACGTGGCTGTCATAAGAAACGGCACCAGAATTGAAGACTTCAATCGTGTTTGGCCGGCAACTGAATCATCGACGTCTTTCCATGGGACCAAGTCATGCCTGCCAGACACAAGAACGAGGCGCTGGAATGCACATGATTCTAGTCTGACGCGCTTCAGTTGTCTGACTCGCTTCATGACGGTGGTCGGTGCTTCTGGCCACCAAGGTGGCAAAAAACTCTGCAGTAAGCATCACTGTCAAACAACCCAGGGGGGCCTGTTCTTGATCCAAGGGTGTTGCAGTGCGGTCGCTGCAGTCATCCGCTTCTGCGGGTTGACCTGCAAACAGCAGGTCACGCACTGTCATGCCCCTGTCTTGAGTCACCACTCAACAGCTTGCTGCTCCGAATGTCCCGCAGATCATCATGCTTGCTTCTCGAGAGTTGGAAGGAGATGCGTTCAGTCTTCCACATCGACACTTTTTTTGATTCGCGAGCTGCTGGAACGTGCCTCAAGGACTCCCTTGACAAACCTCAGCGGCTTGGAGTTGGGAACAAGAGGCTGAGACAAGGGATGCCGTACATAAGCTGTGTTGCATTGGTGAAATAAATCATTGGCAACTTCACAAATATCTAAACAGATTGCAGGAATGCTCTTCATAAGCTTGCTGCTGTTGAGTGTCTGCCCAGTTCAACTCGCGAATGCATCTTGCGCAACGAAGGCTAGGTTTAAGTTTTCGAACACACACACACACACAACGAAAGACCTGTTTGGGGGAGGCGGCACGTGAAGAATACGGCAACTGAAGCAGAATGTTTACACAAACGCCTGAAATCTTGGCAAGAAGAACCACTGGTCAGTGGTCATTACCAGGATCTCTCATTCTCTGTTCTTGTTGTAAAGGCTTGACTCCGCTCAGACTCGCGCGGTGCTTCCTTGATATTTAACGCTCCACCTTGCTTGCCTGTTCATGCATCCACCCTCGGAATGATTGCATTCCCATCCCCGTGCTAGATTCCGATGTTCAGGGAAGGCAGAATCGGTTCCGGCGTGTTCTCTGGCAAAGCGGACAGACGCTGTGCGACTTCTGGGATCCCCGCTGCCGCCCTTCGATGGAAACACTACTCCATCGTTCTGGCTTCAGGATGTAGTTCCTGGCCGGAAGTGCTGACCGACTACGCTTCGCTGCAGCCAGACATTTGCAGTTTGCAAAGAAGGGCGGGATTGCCCCGAGGCGATATTCTTTGTCTGAACCTTTGCCCAGTCGTGACTCGTACTCTTAACAGAGTGGTACACGTCAGCTCGGCTGCTGCAAGCCCTAGCTTTAGGCCGGAGGCGGTCTCCGAGCCCGAAAAGGGCATGTAGCCAGACAGCAGGACGAATGTGATGACCTGGGCCATCACAAGATTCCGAGATGTCATCCCATGGCTGCACGATGAGCTGGCACGGCTTTCAGGGTCCATCCGGAGCATGGGGACTAGCTGAGCATGTGACGCCCAGGCTCCAAATGTCGCACTGACTGGTGTAATCTTTCTTGAGCACCTGGCAGGTCAGGTGCTTGTTTTTTGGAGCCACGCGCCGGCGGGTACAGTCTCCTGGCCTCCGGCGCAACATAGGCAAGGGTGCCGCAGCTGACATGCATCTTGATGTTCGGGTCCCACCTGAGACGGAACGGCTGCGTACAACATCAACCAAATTCGAATCCTGTGCAGCCCAGTCGCACTTTGCTGAATCCAAAATCGATCAGTTTGAGGTGGTTGCTCGTCTTTGACTCATACCTGAGCGAGCATGCAACAGTGGCTTCCTGCGCTGGTTAATCCAGGAATCTGCAAGCCAAGCTGCAAAAAGTTCTCCAACTTAAGATCCCGGTGGACGATGCCTCTCCGGTGCTTCCGTCTCTCAGGAAGAGCCCAAATGCCGTTTGTCACATCGTCTCTCCCTGTGGTGCAAGCCTCGTAAGATTGCTTACTGGAGTCTGCATACTGCGACACGTGTGTATATCAAATATGTACACGTCACATGCATGAAAACATGCCTCTAGGAACTGCCCAGCGAAAATTTCCGAGCGTTTCCGAGCTACCGTGCAAGTCCGGTTTACCGGACGGAGGCTGCCAAAAGAACCCAGATCCAGATTTCTGGCACAATGGAGGTCGTAGCACAACCAGTGAACAAACTTATGCAAACTACATACGAGCACATGCACTGTCCTTGTGTGCGGCTATGCAAATTTAAATGTTTCCTGTGTCTGCCGTACCATGATACTGCAATTACCACGTTATAGAGCACGGTTCCATAAAGTACGGCGAACACAGAGTCTAGTATAGCGCGATGCAACGCGAAAGACCTTTAACATCATAACAGTAGCAACATCATGGTACATCATGGCAAAAGCAAGACCAGGCAGAGCATCCTTCGATGTACTAAAATCAGTACAGCCTTTCACTGCGACAACCAAACAGCGAAGGAAAAGGTAGAGAACCCAGAGACCTGCTTGCATCTGTTCCCGATCGAACTCACTCTCCCGGCCGTGGCTATGAATGTAGTTCAAAGCCAGCAGCATCTGAGAGACAGCATCGGCCGCCTAAGTCAAATGCCGCAAGCTTCCATCTTGTACAGTGCTGCAAAGGCGGCTAAAAAAAGACGGAAATGCGACATGAAGTGTGAGGTTCACTTACCGTTTAGTTGTATCTAGTTTAGACTGGCATGATGATGACGACGACCAGGACGACCAGTACTGGCGATTCTTGCGGAGACTTCCATGACATGTCGAGCTTGCACTGGGCTGCCGCACGTCACGCTCACCAAATTTCTTCAGCGTCGTGACTCGGTCGAAAAGCTCCCCACCCTCCGAACGAGACAGTGCCATCCAATTGGCGTTCACGTATTTGCTGCCAGTTCCTGGAATGCGGCCTCCATGCACTCCATGACCAGGTACAAGTAGTCATCTGCTTCGTAAACATCGAAAAGTCTCGTGATGTGCGGATGATCCTGACAGTTCCGACCCACCCGCTAGTCGCGACTTGTCGGCTTGCGGACGCTGAGGGCACCGCCATGCAGAGGTAGATCCCTACTTCAGACTCCAACTGCGCCTCTCAGGGCAAAAGGCCGCAAGGCAAGGAGCTACAAGGAGACTGCTCACAGAAATTCCAAAGGCCTTCTTGTCGCGCTTCAGCTTGCCAATCTTAAATGCCTGGCAGCAGGAAAGGGTCGAACGCACAGGCTACGGCTACAGTCAGAACGCCAACTAGCATGTCAATGTGCAACGTCGCAACTTCGATTCTGAAGGTGCACGAGACAGAGCTGTCGTCACGAAGCTTGCCTTGACAGCGAACTTCTGGTCATCGTCGAGGCCAATACTCGTTGCCATGTTCACGACCTGAGTATGTCCAACACCGGCTACAGAAGAGCGCGCTGGTCCTGGTAGGCTCCCATAGAAACCTTCAGGTCGGTCGCCTCACGACAACACGTTCTGGCAAAGAGTCTTCCCACATCACCACGGCGTCCAATGTCTGTGTTGGATCTGCGGTTTGAATGTGTCCTGCAAGAGTGCGCCCTGGTGACATCCTGAGGTGTTCACACCATTGTAGCCACTGCCGAGAACGGTCTCGTGTATCTGCAAGTATAGGCAGAGCTTACCAGGACAGCACCAAGCGTGTACGGTGACCTGACAACTTGTGCAACTGTCAAGACCTTGTAGTCGTCTCCGATTCTGCGAGGCTTGCGGTGATACCTGACTTCGAGCAACAGGTTCTCATGGCCCAGAAACAAGTGCCAAGTGCGATGCATCCCGATCAAGGCCTTCCGGACACCGGGATCTTGCCCATGTGCTCCTGCACATCCGCAGACTTCGAAGCACACAAGTGGAGCGGACCTTCTCATGATTCTCATGGCGTGGCCAATTAGCGCTGCATTAAGCTGCAGACTCGCGAGGAAAGATCCGTGAGCTTCATTTCTGATGCGACTCTTGCATTCCAGTGCTAAGCACCAAGCTGAAATCCGGATAACCTCGCCACCAATGTCGCTGTAGCCTCAGTCTTTTTGGGAAGAGGGTTTCGAAACCTCGATGCCTTCCCTGGACTTCACGCAGATATCATCTCTCTTTGCCTCTGCCTCTGCGCCAGTCTACAGGGCCCTGGCCATCTTTGCCTTGCGCTTTGCTCTTGGTGCCCCCCATGGCTTCGGGAGAGATCAGTAAGTTCGGCGGTGCGGCTTTACTGTCTGCCTGGAAAAAGTCAGCTTATGAGTCCATTTGGTTCCGCACTGGCATAGGAGAACGGTCCATAGTACTGCCTAACATGGTGCTCACATGTGAGCTTGTATGAGCAGGTTCAGGCATTACCGGCCCAACAGCCTAGCTCCACATTCTGCGCCGAGCGACGAATCGGAGGCAGTGCAGCATTTGCTTCACTGCTCGGATCAGAACAAGCAAGATAGCTAGTAGTAGTTACGGCTGTCTTGCGAATGCTTCCCGCATGGCCGTCACGTACCTCAGAACCCTGGCACTGCCCCTCGTGGTTGTTCAAGCAAGCGACTGCTCCGAATGCCACAGATTTTGTACAACTTGCACGAATGTACGGGCATCATTGGTCAGGTAAGCTCTGCGCTTTCAAAAAAGCTCTAACTCGGAAACAAAACAGCCCATCTGCCTGTCACATTAGCTATATAACCATATATATATATATATATATACATATATATATATATATACATATATGCAGTGCTTGACTATGAAGTTTTCTGCAGGCAGTTGAGCTGCCCTCGTGCTGCGCAGCATTACGCTGGCGCAACATTCCTAGCGCCGATGTTTCGATGTTCGACCCATGCGCTGTCCTGTAGTACCTGAGTACCTGAAGGTGTAAATGTCACCATCAGCTCCCGTGGCCGTATCGAACATCAGCTGGAGTTGCGGCTTGTCAGCTTTGCCCGCAAAGTTGAGAAACAGAGCGTTTCCAGTCGCTGCGCCCCAGATCAGCAGTCATGCTGTCTACTTCTTCATGATGGGCCACCTGGGTGCAGGGCTTGTTGACACCAATAGCCCAAGCGTTCTGGCCTAGAAGCACGAGGCCTCGATGTGTACAGACATCCAATTGCTGCATGCGTGCTGCATACGGGTCGGCGGGTCTCCAACTTGCAAGCCGGCCGTACTTCTGATCTGCTTCGACTTCGTTGTGAAGTCTGAAACCCGCCGTCTCGTCTGTCCAGACACGAACTCTCTGCGCTTCCCGATCACACGTAAGGGTAGAGGTAGAGGTGTGCGAAGTATCTCCCCAAAAGGCCCTGGCAGCGGGAAGTGGTCGGGAGGGACGATGACGCGCATGCGCTCGGTGTCCAGCCTGGCAATCTCAGTCTGACTGCTTCATTACAAACGGTGAGGCCACGCGAGGCCTCGCGGAGTGAGCCCGACGAAACTGCTCGAAGTTGAAAGCACGTCGCCTCGGATGCCGCCGAAGCTTGAACCGCACCGCAAACTCTGATCTATGCCGGCTTCCGAACCTATCCAAGCTCTCAACACGCGGCTTTGACTCATCATGTGGCTCTATGCGAAATCGTCGTGCTTCGAAGAAAATACATAGCTCCGTTGGGCTTTTCATCGCCGCTCGCGATCAGAGCTTCTCAGATCACGGCAAGTGCAGGGTTGCTGCGGCTGACGACGGCTGGATTTGCTCCGCGACGGCTGGGCACACGTGCAGCAAAGGGCAAAAGCACACATACCATCTCCCTTCGCTGAATTTCGCTGAAAGCTGAGGGTCGCACGTTCGAGAATTTGCGTGAGCCATCCGTCGCCTGCTTCGGCTTCAGCTCCACGCGTGCGAATGCGCGCGACGCTGGCGCCAAGGCAAGGGCCATGGCTTTGGCCGCACCTGTGCGTGGAGTCATCAAAGGGCCTCGGCGTTGCGCCCACTTTACTTAAAAACAAAGGCAGCAAGATCGGATCAGATGCATTTTGAACTGTGCTCCGGACTCCTCGCTGGCATCTTTCGCCTGAAAACCCACTCTGCCACTTGCACATGCGCCCTCTTAATCAAAGTTGGAAGACATCGTGCGTTCCGCGATCACCACGATGAATTCAATAGGAACCGACACGAGGAAAGAAGCACGTGAGGCAGTCCAACGTACGGCCCCAGATTGTGGTCATTTCTGCAATCCCTTGCCTTCGCAGCATCCCGCTCCTGATCCGCAAGCCTGGACTCCAGTGCCTGCGCGTGAGCAAAAGCATGGCGGAACCTGGCAAACAGAAAGCTCGCGAGGCCTCAACTCGTAGCAAGGCGCTCTGCAACATTCGCTGCAGGTCCTGGACCGGAGAGCTAGTATTAGTCATGACATATTATCAGCATTGCTGAGCAAGGACCAGCTGGAAGCATCCTCCACCGTCGCTGTGGCCGTCGGCACTTGAGGGGTGCGAACGTCCGACTGCTGAGACTCTTGGGCTTGGCTGGATGCCTCAAGCTAGGCGGTGATTCATAAAATCACGGCATGTACCTGTCGTACTTTGTTGCCTTGTCAGCGGCGCCCTTCAGATCCTGGTGACTTACTGTCAACATGTCCGTTCCATTCTTACTTCCTCGCAGCAAAGCAAGATAAGTCGGCAGCTGTCTGCAAGCAAGCGTCTAAGCCGAGAGAGCTCGGGGCCTCTTCGACCTCTGCGCTGTGCAGCATGGTGCTCGCCGCAGTCGCTGCAGTGCTCTCGGCCTGCTCGGCCTGCTCGGCCTGCTTGGCTGCTTTGGCAAGCAAACCCCAGAGACGGCCACCGGCCATGGCGCCGATGTTCGCGGAGACATTCACAGGATTCACGGGCTCGGGCTCTGTGAGGCCGAGGGCCCCCGCTTCCACATGTGGATGAACCGCTGGTGCCAGCACGACCTGAACTGAAGCCTCTTCGCTCCTCTGTAGCAAGCGGGGGGCTGGAGCCAGCCCCTGCTCAGGACCAGGAGCCAGAACTTTCTCGGGCTCGGCTTCTGTGCTTCGCCTTGCCATGAGTACTCTCGTAAGCTTGGCTCTCTCCTTCTCTGGAAGCAGCGGAACGAGTTCGTTAACCAGGTCAGCGAACAAACTCTCCTCTACGTTCCCAGCACGTTGGTGCACGTCGACCAATCGGACTGACCAAGCAAAGAACTCCGGATCGGGCTGGACGTTCCTGTGACGCCTTACCAATCTGAGCAAAGTGAGCAGCGAGGACAGCTGCACCCATCTCTCGGGCGAATTCCGAAGAATGGGCTGCTGCTGCGCTCGGAAAAGCCTTGGTCCAGCAAGAAATCATGAGCTTGCATCACAGGGCAAGAGCTCAGCTCTCCAGGGCAGACTTGACCTCGTTGTAATCTCGTTGACTTTCTGTTCTGGTGCGCCATGTCTGCTACGGATGCTACGTGTTCTGCGAGCGATGCTTGCCTCGCGCAGCGGTTTTTGTAACTGAAAGAACAAAAGATGCTGCGATTTCCGGGATGCACGTGGAATAGCGCCTGATTCGCCCAGCCAGGTAGAAGCGCTGCCGGGGTCAGCGTCAGTGTGTTCCGATTGGAGCTTGAGGACGCAGACGCCTTGAGTCACAGCCGTGTCGCTCGATTCAAGAAGTCGCGGAAGATAAGCCCGAAACCATCCAAAATCCAGACAGCTTTGACAAACGAAGCCGGTACATTTAAGAAGAGTTTGTCTTGCGCGATAAGCTCCACTTTCTTCAGTAACACAGCATCAGAAGGAGGTATGCCATTCCCGACCTGCCTGTCCAATGATACTGTGGGATTCACAGTACCTGCAAACAAGAACCCTGCCCAGACTGTATAGCAGCTTGCGGCCCGTAGTGGGCCATGGCAGGAGCTGGAGGAACTGGACAGTTAAAGAGCACTTGACCAGCTCGGCCATGATCTCGGACCAGTCATCGATGGACAGGCTCCTGTCTGAACGACGTCGGTCTCTTCATCTCCATACGGTTCAAACTCACTCTCAAACACATTGGAGTTGCGCATGCTTGCACCGCCTGCTCCGGCTCTGCGCGAATTGGTGGCGTTGCACGCCCCAACTAATTGCAACCTCGAGATGGCATTGAATCTCGTGGATATACTGGATGCCATTTCCGGGCCGCCCTGCGAGGCCCTTCACGATGTCTTGCATCACCGGCGGGGTCAGAGGCGGAGCCTCAGCATGTCACACGGACTCGGACACTGCGAGGCCTGCTTTGGCGGTCTTCCCAACACACGTCCGTGGTTCAAGCATGGACGTGCACGCGACATCTCAGAAGCTGGCATTTTGTTCGGCCTGTTTCACATGACGCATCGGTCTATGCGGCAACTCCAAGTGACTCCAAGTTCTGGTTGGCTCCGGTTCGGGGATGCGCAATCGTGTGCAATCGAACAACTGCAGAACAATTGGCATATGGTTGCAGGCTTTTGTTGTACTGTGCGTTGAGTGGCTAGACTTCATCTCAGCTGGCTTTCTGGCCTCCCTTCCACTATTTTCTACCAGCAAACCCTCAGTTCCTGGTTGCTAGAAAAAGTGGTAAAAGGCCTCCCCTTCCTCTTTCCACTTGCTCTGAGTCAGGACTTGCACTTGAGAAGCTCAAACAAAGTGTACTCTCCTCCTTTCCTGCTTCGTTCAGCTGTGCTACAGTTCTCCCCCGAAAGGAGAATTCTTACGCCCACGCGCTGTCCACGTAACAACCGCATGCGCCCCACACATCACGACTTTCCGGGGGAGATTTCCAGTGGGGCATGACATACATACTCTTACCACAAGAGGCCGGGGTTTAGAACGGCATCCATGTAATGATTCTACTATAGGGTTACTAGGGCTTCGGCATCCAGGCACTCTCTCTCTCTCTCTCTCTCGCTCTCGCTGCATTTCTTGGTTTCTTCATCTCTCGCCCATCCACTCGCTCGCTCTCCGGCCTCACGTGCCAGCAGGTCTGCCATGAGAGGCGCAAGTCCTATCCAAAGAGGTGCTGGCGCGTCTCATCCGGGCTTTGTCAAGTGCCCTGGGCCTTCGTGGGGCAGTGGATGCGCGGGCATGTGCCTCATGCTGTCGAGATCCCTTTGCTGGTGGGCTGACCGGAACGGGGTTCACGAACATGGTCTAAGACTGAGTGGTGGAGCTTGTCGCGCGAAAAAGTGCTTAGAGCACCAAGAGGCAAACTGGACTGGACACGTCCGCACCCTAACCATAATTCACTGAGACCTCCACGATTTCTGGTGCTTCATGAGGGCTTGGCCGCAAGCTCGCAAGGCTTTGAAGTGGGCCTTGCACGACTGATAGGGTGGCCACTCCAAGGAAACAACCTAGACAGCGACTGCGAGTCTGGAGACAGCATCTTGAAGCTTCATGGACACGCAGCCTATTCCACACCGTGAAGGAGCCGCCATGCTATAACCCCTGACCAAAACTCTGCAACTGCTGGCACTTCACCTCGAATCAAAACGAAGATCAGTACTTTTTCTCATGGGCCTGAACAACTTCTTGACTGCTGTTGTAAGAACAACCTCTTGTTCCCTGCCCGTGCGGGTGCCGGTCCCACCTCTTTGGCTGAAGGGTCTGGCACCAGCCTTGCACGGAACAACAACTCGACGTTCTCATGAATATCGTCTCCAGCTTCATGCTGCATGGGCGTGGATGTACTCTATAGCCCGGCCTCAGCCACGACAACATTAGGTGCGCCTGGTCACAGGAGACAAGCCGCTGAAGCAGGGAGCTGGGCTTGTGCTTTGCCAGCCTGCTTCGAAAAGCTACTGCCACGCAACCGCGAGATGGTGCAGTCTGCGAGAGCCTGGCGGCACATGTCGCAAGCAACGCCCTCGAAGAATTGCGGTGACTTATGGGATCATGGATCATTTCTGGGCTGGAGGGAGCACATGGTTGCTCCGACGGCGGCACTTGCCTCCAGCTCCTTGCCCGTGAGGCCCGGGCTCGGGAGCCGTGCAGCCGCATGAACCTAGGAACTCGAAAGCCTTTCACACCCGCCGCAACCGAAACAGACATCCAAGGGCCAGGGCCAGAAAGCGGAGCGTGTCCACTGTAATGTCCTCACGGACCTGTATAACTTCATTGAGCAAAGTCTGAACAAAATTGCTCCACGCAATCTCACTCCCGTCGTCTCAGCTTTTCATCCATCACGAACACGACCCACGACTCTGACAAATCCGCTCGCCACCTGTGGGTTCTCGACCAAATCCGTCAGGAGCGGCTGCAAGACCGCCGGCATTGCGTCTGCTAGCCGAGTGTCCTTTCGTGACATCGAACGGAACGCAATCACCAAATCACGACCAAAACGAGGACGAAACCAAAGATGTGTCATCTTCCTAATATTCCATCACCGCAGGAGCAACAAGAAGGTCAAGGCTGCCGCCACCACCACCACCACCAC